TTTTTTTTTTTTTTTTTTTTTTTTTTTTTTTTGCTGCTCTATTACTTCAGCTCTTGCAATATGTCTGATTTTTCTGCTTCCTCTTAATATTTAAGTTTCTTTAAACGCAGTTTTTCTTTTGCCGGTTCGTCGTATCATAGACGTACTCAAATATTTATAGCAGTAGATATTTATGGCTCATGTTTGAACCGTAATTCACCAGTGAGTTTTGGAAGTTTTAAAATTTATAACGGACTTTTCTTATTCTTTTTTACTGTTGAATAAAACAATTTGCTTATGAATTGCTTACCAGTCGGATTTTTAGCTACACAGTTTTCGTAAATCTCAGAAGTCCAGTGCATGCTGTGCGCACTTATAGCCAAATTGCTGTGTTGTGAATTTTTAATTTCTATTTTTGAAAAAAGACGTTGAAATTTAGTAATGGTAGGCTTTGTGGAGATTACGCGAGTGGAAGAATTTTCAGCGGCACACCGTCTGCACAGCAAATTCTTAAGTGAAGAAGAGAATCAAAAACTTTATGGGAAATGCAATGGTGCTACTTGTCACGGTCATAATTATAAGCTCAAAGTAACTATTCGAAATGTACCTGATTCTGAAACAGGCATGGTTAGTTTTCTTTCGTTTACAAATGCGATATATTTTTTTAAAATCTTTTTTACTGCTTGACTGGAATTGGTTCGCGGTTTTCTGGAAAGGAGAACTCATAGTTGCTTAAGATTTTGCATTGACTTCTTATACAGTTGAAATTGCAGTTGCTGTTTTTTCAGTGTCGTACGTTCGCTGAAAATGCAACATTCTAGAAGTTCTAAAAGTAAAATCGTGATTTTCTTCCTTATCGGCTTAAATTATATAGATCACAGAGGATCTACCCAGTGGTGATTTGATAAAATATAAAAATTTTTGAGACTGAAGTTCAAAAGGGCTTTGTATGCAAGAGAGAAGCAAACAAGGTTAAGACTAAAGTAAAAATTGCTATTTTGAAGACAATGAAAAAAGTTAAAGCTTATACAAGAAAGATCAAAAAAGATGCTTTTATCTTCTTATGTTCGGGAAACTATAAATGCACTTGCAGTAGAAGAATGCACTTTTTGTAATTGATTTAAAGTTTTCTGGGCAACTTTTAGAATTTTTTGTCCTGCCATGCAAAGAATTTCGATAAGTCATTTTTTGGTCATTTTTTATCTTCACTTCTTCTTTTTTTTTTTTTTTTTTTTCACGAACTTGCTGATTTTACAAGGAGCACAGCAAAGAGCCGATATATAAGCTCTATTTGCTGATAGATTATTATCGCCTTTACACATGCTCCAAATGCGAAAGCATTTGTGCTGCAAATGCGCAGAACTTAAACTTGTTGATTCGTGACGACTTATAAAACTTTTTTCCATTTAATTTAATTAATTTATTTATTTTTCTGAAAATAAATGAATAATTTTGAAAGGCACTGTTTTGTTGAATCTCTTCCTGTTATTGAAAGTTTGAAATGAATAAGAAATGAAAAATGAATGAAAAATGAACAGTATTCATCAGTTGTGATGAATACTGTTTTTTCTTTTAAAATTCTCTAGGATACAGATTACTTCTGTAACTTTTATTTAAGAAATTTTTTGTTTGTTTTATTAAGATGTCAAATCATTCGATTAACTTTTATTTCAACTTTGGCATTTGGTTTTTCTGACAGAAAAGCGTTATCCGCACAACTGCATTTGTTTATCGTTTTGCACGAATTATGTTAACTGCCTACTGTTCATTTACGTAAGCGTTTATGGAGATTAAAAGTTTTCCTTTCGTAGTTATGCCACAAGAGGGAAATTTTAAAAGTTATGATTTTTTTGGAATGAATAGAATTTTTTCAGGCTTATAATTTATGCAAATTGAAGACTGAAATAGGAGTCATATTGGAGCAACTGGATCACAAAAATTTAACCTATGATGTAGAGTACTTCAAGGACCACGTTTCTACCACTGAAAACCTTGCAATTTATGTATGGAATGAGCTTAAAAAGATTATGAGTTTCCCAGAGTTACTATGGAAAGTTTGTATTAAGGAAACTAGCAAAAATTCCTTCGCCTACTTTGGACCTTAGTAACTTGATTTCTCTATTTTGCACTTACGCAGCTACGGATTCTGTTTAAAAAATTGAAGTACGTGGTCTACAATTTTTTATAGACCTGCTATTTCTGGTGTGACTTGTTGTATTGAGTTATTATGAAAAATTTATATTAGGGAAGCTGGCAGGGATTTTTTTACGTATGGAATGAGCTTTTTTTTCTTTTTTTTATATTTTGTAGTGCATCTAAGAGACTAAAATCTGTATTCTATAAATTTATACATACCGCTTAGAATTTCTGTAGAATAAATAAAGAAGCCGAGCAAATGGCGAAATTCTGATCGGTCTTTTTAAAAGTGAACAAGAGAATGGGGAGGTAACGGACAAAGACGTGAAAAACAAATGCTAAAAATCTTCTGAAAGATTGTTTTTTCTAAGGTCCTAAATAAATTAAGAAAGTATTTTTGTTGAAAGCTTAAGGTGCTTTGTAAAGAAGTCGAACTTTTTCCGATTCGTATATGCAAGTTTGCTTTCTAAATATATAGAATTTTTTAATAAAGACCTTTTTATTATTGTAAAATTCATTTTTTGCTGAACAGATTAATTTGCAGGTTGTCCTCTGGTTAGGTCGTTCAGATCTAGTGTGAGGCAAGGTGGTTGAGTGTTCTGGATTTGAGAATTTGCAGGAAATTCCAGAGAAAGCGTTACGAAAAGTTCTTTTAGCAGTAAAAATAAATAAACACTACAATTTCCTCATTTGGTTTTGAGTGTAATCTATCAAAAAGTTTTGGAGATAGTTTTGTTTATTACAGACTGAGGGTGAAAGAATGAAGTAATTTCCCTTAGTTTTTCGAAAGCTAAACCGTGTTCTTAACAGAAACTCACAGCCTTCCCCTACGAGTGTTGTCGGGTAATACAGCTTGAATAATAGGCACTTTGTTTTTGAAGCCAATTTGTCTAAATGAGATTAGTTTTTCACTGAAGATATGGATGTTGAGTCTGAAAAGCGGTTAGGATATATACAGGAATGGCTCTTGTTAGCTGTAGTTAATCCTCTCTCAGTGGAGAGAAATTGAAATATTATGGCAAATAAGTTATAGTTTTTTGTATTCAGTGAAAATGACTGTGATGAGTGATAGAAACAGCAATGTAAATTTTACTCGTTTTGATCCTAAATCTACTTTTTCGTATTTCAGAGTTTAATACTGACATTGAGTTGGCATGTGATAGGCACCAGTAACTTTAGCATTGAATTTAATGCGCACTTTTGATAAGAACTATGCTTAAGCAACAGTTGATCAGCTTGTTCTGAATGACTTTTAACAGACTTACTAATGACAAACTTCGCTGTTTCCTGTGCAGTAAATATTAATTTGAATTCAGCTGGCTACGAGTTGCAGAGTTTAGCTTAATCCGACATTTCCATTTCCTGAACCTCATATATCTGAACGTTTCAATAAAAAAAGAAATATGGTTATGAAAATATGGTCAAGAAACAGAATTAGCGTTACAAAAACAGCTGAAACCTTAGTGCAGAAAAAGTGTATCGACTTTATGATCGTTTCCTTTTCAGAAAATCAGCAGTTTATTTCGCGCTTCATTTAGCTGTTTCATTTCCAGCCAACATTTACAAATATTTCCGTCTAAAACAACGGATTTGTTGGTGAATTTCATCTCATAGATGTGGTTATTATGCATCATGGCTTTCACGGACTAAAAATACTTTTACAACTTTCTAAAGCATCTGCTTAGTGCTTCTAGTCAGTTTTCTAATTTTATCACAATAGTACAAAATCTTCTAAGCAGTTTTTTGGGCGCTAGTATACGTTGATGTAAAAGTTGATCACAGTTTCTACAGCTTGTCGAACTGCTTATTTTAGTTACATTATGATTAAAATGAGCGGTTTTTAGTAGCTTCTCTTTTTCCTTTTGTAACTTCAAAAATAATTGTCAGTAAATTTTTTTTGGAAAGAGAAACTTTAACTGCTTACCTATGAAGATTACAGAGTAATGAAGACGTTGTGTTTCAAATATATATTAAATGTTTCAAATATGGTTGTTATCGCGGCAGCCAGATAGAAGAAAATCCAAAATTTTTTAATTTTTTTACTTCTGTGTTAAAGAACTGTTAAAGAAAAGAACAAACAACACTTGTACTTAGCTTTCCTTGGAATTCTTACAATGTAATATCTTTATATTGATCGACAAAGAATTTCGTAAGACGGCATTATCGCGCCGATTGTTGTTGTAGCTTTTCCTGGTTTTAGCTCCTCTTTTCTTCAGTATACTCACAGTTTTATTGCCAGGAAAACTTGTGAGTTAATCTCATGCCTAATACGCGGGACTTATTGGGTTCGATAAGTTTATTCTAAACCTCAAACTTGGGTAATTAAACCTTGTCAGTACTGGCAAAATTATACAGAAAAAGGTTATACGTTACAAATTGACACACACAGCGAACAGAACATAACAATATAGTATTTTTACAAGAAATGTTGGTTAAGCGTATGGAATACATTTATAACTAGCATTAAGAGGAAAGTAAAAAAGAAACTGAGTTGAAGAGTAGAAAAGGTAAGACTGATCACGCTTCACTCTAAAACTTTCCTATATAGTGTCGCAGAAAGAAGTAAATTTTTTAGATGTAGTTATTGCTTACACAATAGAGTAAGCGATTTTTAATAGGAGAATGCCGATCTAGTTCGACTCCTTTAGTTAGGTATTTGCCTGCCACGCGGATTTGAGATGCAGAGAAGACTTTTTTTGAGAATCCTTTATTGAGTATACTAATAGTACAGAGAGAGGATACGATAAGTCACCCAAAAAACTTCAGGAAAAAGAACCAAGTATTTTCGTAATTAGCTTTTTATACTGTTACAATAGAAGCAAATCGTAAATACTTATAATCTTATAAAAGTTATAAAAGTACCTTTTACAATATGCTCTAATATATTACAATATATTATTTAGCATTCTTCCCATCTACAAATGTTATTTGTACTTTTTGGTATAAGAGTATCTTCGTAACCTTATCCACCATTTCTCCGAATGTAATAGTAATTGTTGATTTCCATTGTTTATCAATCTTGAAGTTGTTTTCGCCTTTTCCTCAGTTGTCATTCTTGAGTTTCTTTTAGTTAGGTGATATCTTCCGGTCATTTATTATCCAATTACTCGATGTCCTTTATTTCGGACAAATGATGATAAATTTGTTGTATTTGGCTCATTATCCAATTATCCAGTGACCTCTTCGTAAACAGATAATGATAAATTTCTTTCTTCTGGATAAATTCTACCATTTTTCAATTCTTGTTTACTTTCCGCCTCTGACCCTTGAATCTTTAGTTTCTGTAATCCTTGTTCCATTATTTTTTCGCTTCGCATTTAGCGACACTCCCATTGCGAGAGATTAATTAAGATTATCCATCGATAATTGATCTTCATTGATATTATGAAGCGTTTGTTGCACTTCTTTACCATTTAGTACATATAATTTAGATCGGGAAGAATGCTATTTACAAAAAGTTACATAAAAACAATACGAGTCACAAAATTTTAATATGTGAATATAATAATAAACTATTTCTGTTTTAAGGAAATTAGTTGTTTTAGTTTTTTATTATTATTATGAAAGAGTAGTTTTTTTTAAGGAATAATTATTAATATATTAATTACAAAGAAAGTTTACCAATGTATCTCTCTCTTTTCTTGTATTGGTTCATTTACTGGTTTTTCTGGTTCTACTGGTATTTCTGCTGACATTTCTGCTGGTACCTGCTGATTTTGTCCCGACACCTCTAGTTTTGGTTTGAGTAGAAGACCGGGTCGCTTGCGACTTTCGACTATAACTTGGTTCATCTGCCTCCTGGAATTCTACCAATTGATCAAAAACTAATTGAGGTTCGTCATAATCCATTGGTTGAATTGGTTGGATAGTTAGGGTATCTTGTCCCGTTGTATCCTCCTCGATTCGTTGCTTGTTTGAGAAATATCTTAATGCTAATCGAGGCCTTTGATCTGATCTGTTCTTGTTACAGAATCGTCGAATGATATACAGTATAAGATTGACGATTATTTTTTGAGAATGATTAGAATAATTAGGAGAATTTCGCCAATAGCCAAATAATAAGTAGCAGCAGAAAATAATAATACCAGTAATACAGTAGTAATTATAAACCATTTATATTTCCAGAGAAATATTCCTTGATTAATTGTATCCTTTACATTGTGCGCTGCATCCTGCATTGTATTCTCCATATCATATAAAAGAACTATTTCTCCCTTTGTAGGAGGTTTTTTATTTACATATTAAGTTTGTCTATGAATCATTTGATTTCTTTCTAATAGTTGATGAACCTTTTGCCATACATCCCATAGCTTATCTAAGGTGCCTTTTAAACGATTATAAAATAATTTTAATCTTCTATGTTCTTGAGTTTCATCTTCTTCTTAAACCCTGTCAAAAAATTGTGGTATTAGGAAATCAACTGGTCTTAAAATCTGAGCACTATCAAGCATAACCTGAGTTATAGGTCTATTATGAATAACTCTAATTGTGTTACTTATTAAGATATCCAACTCTACCTTAGTGAATAACTTTTTCCGTATAGCCTTTCTTAAGGTATTTTTTACTAACCCTACCAATCTTTCGTATACTCCTCCCTTCCATGGAGCATGAGCAGCTATAAACTTCCATTTAATATTACAATTTTTAGCTAATGCAATGAATTGAGGAGCATTGTCTGAAGTAATACTTTCAGGTTTTTCTCTAACTGCTATGAATTTTTGAAATATATGTTCTAAGGTACGAGTAGTTAAATGATCAGCTATTTCTAAATGTATTGCTCTAGTAGTAAAACAAGTGAATAAAGCAATGCAGACTTCAGAAATCATAACTTTTCTGTAAGTAGAATTATCTATATTAATTGGTCCTATCTAGTCTAAACCTATATGCTGGAAAGTTCTCGAAGGAGTTACTCTTTCTATTGGTAAACTAGGCATCACTGGTAATTTAAATGGTCTTGCT